TCATTCATTTTCTTTTCTGGAACTTTCTTGGAAAGGGAGATTACTGAGAGATATTCTCAAATTTATGGATGGAGGTTGTCAATGACTGGGCATTCTATGGATGAATGCATGTGGGTTTCACGTCCTTAAGAGTTTTGGAAGACTCTTCAAGGACTGTTTTTCTTTTGAACTGGTTTCCTCTTAAAGGGAAATACTCAAATCTCACATCTGGATGTCAGAATAAAGGAGTCAAGTGGAGGCAAAAGCTTCCTTGTTCAACATGCTGACTTTCCAATAACCCACTTTCAGTATGGAACCTCAACTCTCCTCTCAGTTGTGACTGGTGTCTATAGTCCTTCTGTTTAATCTCAACAGGGAGCAAATCTCTTGTCTTTGGTCCGAGTTGGCAAGGAAGTAGTGCCTCACTTTGGGGGTGATCGCTCTTGTTGTTTAATAAGTTCTTAAACAGACTTTCACAGATTCCTTCTGTCTTCAACCCTACACTTTATTCCTACCTTCAAAGGTGATAGCTTCAATAGATTCCTCCAAGTTCTGAGCCTTCCTGAGTTTAGTAAGGCAAATTGGCTTCCTTTGTGGCTACCTTTTCTTCAGGATTGGCTTCAGTTTTACCTACTCTGTAAGGCCAGTCACTACTCAACCAGCCATTTTCCATCCCAGTGCTTAAAAGGAAAATGACTATCCTATTATCCTAGAATATTGTCATTGTCATCATCATCACCACCACCACCACCACCACCACCACCACTTAATTATCCCAGCAGTGTTTGATAATGACTTGAAAATTTTATCATTTAATTTCCACAAATGACCTTGTATCAATACCATCCTAACCTCCATTTTACAGGGTGGAAAACACTGAGACAAATAAAGTCACAGACACTACGAATAACTGTGTGGTTTCTAGACAGGTTCAGTAGGAGATAGGGAGAAGAGGTTCTGTGAGAAAAGACTCATAACCCCCCGAGTCATGACTCTGTGTCTGTGATTAGAGCAGCCTATAGGCTCAGTTGTACCAATGGTTGCATCAAGAATCAAGTTTTTAAAACCAAAATGTGAATTCACCTTAAATTGACTAACACTCTTTCAGTTTGCTTAGAATTCACTTTCTCCCAGTTCAGGAAGACAGAGCCTTATTTAGTACCCTGTAAAAGAGTGTGCCAGTGCCTGGAACAGAGCTTGGCACATAATCGGTGTTCAATACAAATTTGTGGAATGAAAGAACATCCATTCTCTAGGATAGAGGGCCTTTTTAGGAAATTATGGGCTCCCTCTCCGATAGAAAGAACCTCCTGAAATAAATGAAAAAGCAATGGGTTTTTCCAGTGTAGTTTTACCATCTAGCATCTACTCCAATTTTGTAATTGTGTACATTACAATTCTGTAATTTAATAAAGGTATTGATTGTTTTGAGGTTGCTGGGATTTTTAATCTTCCTGGTGACTAGCAATTTTGAGCCTCATCAATATTTTCAACACATTTATTAGTACATCAACTCATGATATTATCTGATGATATTTCTTAGTTGAGGTACTACTGCCATTTGGAGCATGTCCATTCTTTGCTGGAGGACAGGCCCTAGATTGCAGGATATGAGGTGGCTCTTTCCACCAAATGCCAGCAGTGTCCACATTATTGAGGCCACCACTTGATGTTCCCCCACAGTTCCAAATGTCTCCGTGGGAATGGTGCAACCTCCACTTGAGACCCCAAGTCATACCATAGCCATTGGAACCTGTCACAATTTATAGATAAACAAGATCTAAAAACACCTGGGGCTGAGCATTAGAAGACATTTTAGGGAAAGAACACATCTAGCAGAATTAGGCAGTCACTGCTGTGGTTTGAATATGGTGTGATGCCTTCAAAATGCATGCTGAAATTTAATCCCCATTGCGAGCTGTTAAGTGCACATGGCTCTCATGAATGGATTAATGCATTCACATTACTGATAGGTTAATGAATTAATGCATCAGCTTGAAAGCGGGTCTGCTATGAAAACCAGTTTGCTTAGGTCTTCCCTGTACTCCTGTCTCTGATCTTGTGATTTTCTGTGCCATCTGGGGACACCAATGGCAGGAAGGTCATCATCAGAAGTGGTCCTTTCATGCCAGACAAGAACCATGAACCAAAACAAACGTTTTTCCTCTCATGTTAAAAAATAACTTATCCAATCTTTGGAATTGTATTAGTAGCAGCTGGAGATACAGCTCAGTGGCACAGCACCTGCTTGGCAAGCATAAGGTCCTGAGTTCAATTCCGGTACCAAAAACAAAAAACAAAAAACAAAAAACAAAAACAAAAACAAAAAACTAGGCAAAATATTGCCGGTAAGTTGGAGGGAGAGAATACTTTAGGGAAGGTGTGGGAGGGACTGTTTACAATTCATTTTTCACTTGTTTGATATTTTGCTTGCTTTCATGTAAGACATATGATTTCTCCAGATTCCAAGTCTACCCATCTGCCTGACAATTACTAAGTGCATAACACAAGGCTGGGAGTTTGGTGTACTTGGTTTTATTTTTACAACACTCTGCTCCATGTAAAACACTGTTCACATTCCCATTTTTTTTTTCATAGATGAAGAAACCAAGGCTTTCAAAAGGTATGGAACTTCCCCATAGTCAGCTTTCTGTCTCCAGAATCTGTGTTCTGGCTGCAACACTATTGAAAAAGGCTTGGGAGCTGGGCATGGTAGTGCATGTCTGTAATCCCAGCACTGTTGAAGGATGAGGCAGGAGCACTGCATGTTTGAGTCCAGCTTGGGCAATTTAAAGATGTGGAGAGACCTCACAGGAAAAAAAAAAAGGTGGGGGGCTGGGAATATAATTTAATGCCAAAGCCCTGCAGTGGGTTCAATACCGTTTTAAAAAAAAAGAGGCTAGGCTTAGGGATTAGCATGAAGGTTTTAGAAAAAGAGGTTTTTGTCCAAAGTTTGTACAAGCTTCACCCCCCAGGAAACACCAAGTGGCATAGTAGGACCCAACGTGTCCCCACCATTGGAATGTAGGCTCATTTTGGACCAGTGAGGGGAAAGGCTGTTGCAGGCAGTCTTTCTAAAGGACAATGGGGAAGGGGTGAGTTGGCTACTTTTTTAACAAACCAGGGCCAGCCAGAATGTCTGCTGCTGCCTGGAGAATCTGGCTGCCCCTCTTTCCCAGCCTCTCTGTGAAACATCCAAGACCGGATGTTGGGGGAGAGGAAGGAAGGGAGGAAGTTGACTGGTTGGTCCTAAGGAACCCGATGCCATGGCTTCTAGGGTTCTCTATGGGAAAAAACAGGAACACAACAGACATTAAGACTCATTAACACATTACTTTACATCCGTGTTTCTTTCATAATATTTTGGTAAGCTCTGCCCTGTGCCAGATTTTCTTCCGGGTGCTGAGGAAGCAGCCACAAACAAATCCGCCAGATGTCTTTGTCCTCATGGAGCTTACATTCTAATGGGGGCATGCAAACACCTTCATATCATTTGAAGAGAAATATTTTGGACCAAAAACAGGAATTTTGGGGGCATTTTGATTTTCAACAGCAGTCAAGTTTCTTGAAGTGATATTTGACTAAAGATTAATAAGTACCCTTCTGGGTACATTGATCTCACAAATGGTCACAACAACACAAAGAAATGTGGCAATGGTTAGTTTCATTTTACAAAGAAATAGAGATTCAGGGAGATACAGCAATTTCTGGTCATGGTACAGCTAGTAGATGGCGGTACTGAGATCAAAAACTCATGCAGCTGGAACGTGGGAGACCAAGCTCTCCCACGTGGGTGCAGGAGTCCAAACAGGTTGCAGAAAAGGCAATTTGCAGGTGCAAATGGAGTCCCTGCCTGCCTGCAAGGCCACTGGGGTGCTACTCTTGCGCAAACGTGGGCCGGCTTCATGGGGGATAGGAAGGATTAGGGTGTCTGCAACTTTTGCGGAGCTGAACCAGGACACCCCGCGACGGGAGTACCCTGGTCCCTGGCAAACCAGTGGGGGAGGGAGCGCAACAGCCAGGGTTGTTCCAGGACAGCGCCGATTGAGTCTCACGCCGCTGCCAAACCCAGCTGCTCCAGTCAATAAGGGAAGACCTCGCGGGCGGGCGCTCGTCGCCCTCCTAGTGGGGTTTGCGCGGGAGTTACTAGGACAGCTGAACAAGGAGGGCGCAGGGAGCGGCACCCTGCGTGGAGTCCTCAGTGTGTCCCAGGAGCCCCTGGGCGGGCGCACGACGCCGTGGAAGGCACTTGGGAGTCTTGGGTTGGACAAGGTCTGTGTGCACCAAATGAGTGGGAACTAGGCTGAGGCAGAATGAGAGGCGGGCGTGCATTTCGCAGGTGAAAGGGGTGCAAGGAGTGTCCAAGAAGGACCTGGCGAGGAAGCCAGTGTGAGTCACTGGAAGGAGGTACCCGAGGGCGTAAGAAGAAGTGACACGGAGCTGTAGCCTGAGCGAGAGCGCGCAGTGCCAAAGCGCGGGATCCGGCGTGAAGGAAGGGGAGTCCTGCAGCCGGGGACCCCCCAGGAGCGGTGGAGGCGGTGCCCTGGACACAGCAGAGCTAGAAAGGCGCCTGTGCTGAGACAGAGACCCTGGGGACCCTGGAGAGCCCAAGAGCGGCTCCTGAGCGCTCAGAAAACTGGGCTTACCTTGTCTGCTATCTTTGCCTGAACTGGGGTTGTAGAAAAGTGGATTTGGGAAGATCCAGGCGAGAGCCCAGAGTTTTAGAGGAGGCGGGAGAAGCAGTGGAGTTCACTGAAGAACTTTCCCAGATTAGAAAGCAGAGCAACAAAGGCGCTGAAATAAGCGTAAAGTTAACCAGGACGAGGGTTGGTCAGGGTTCTGAGCCCCGCAAGGTGCGCCGAGGAGGTGCTGACGGTTAGGATACAGGGCTACAGCTGGGAGAGCCCCAAGAAGGCGTGGAGCAGGGGCGGACGCGGGGGCAGTGAGAAAGGAGCCCTAGCCCTCTGGGTTCCCCGGAGAGGTCTCTCCTCCCCCGCTGCTTTTGGCCCCAACCCACTCACCATGATGGAGAAGACCAAAGCCACGATGTTGATGGGGTATGCGGGGCAAAAACAGGAGAAGATGCTGAGCCACAGGTAGTTCTTCGGCATGGGTATGTCCTCCTCTGTCTTGTCATCTTCAGTGTTGGCCTCCGGACTGCTGCTGTCCAAAGCCCCCTTGAGGTCCGAGCCGGGGGCGTACTGAGACATGGGCGGAAGCGTGGGCGCAGAGAGGGCGGAGGAGTGCACGGTCCGCGCGGTCTGCGGCCGGGGCTGCGCGCTCATGGCGAGCTCTGAAAAGCCGGCGGCACCGGCTCCAGGGAGATGTGACCTCACCCCTGTTACCTCCTCTGCCAGCACAGCCCAGGCTCAGGGACCCGGTCCAAGAGCTTCCCTATAAGGAGGGAGGGAGGGAGGGAGAGGGAGGGAATGAGAGGAGGTGAGGAGCAGAGAGCACCAATCACCCTGAGAAAACAAACCAAAACAAAAAAGCTTTGGAAGAGTGCACTCCCGACACACCCAGAGACCGCTGGACCGATGCAGACTCAGCCCAAGAAGTCTGAAAGAAAAAGAGGCGGAGGAGGAAGAAGCAAGATTTAACTTTCAAGTTGGCCAGCCCGTGGGCTGAAAAGCTCACTTTAAAAAGCCACTGAATTTGAATACTTTGGAGAGGACAAGACCCACCTATCCAATTGGCAACAGACTTCCTTTCCTTCCCAGACTCTAGGGGATGCTCAGAAATCTGGAGTTAGGGATTATTCTGAAAACTTCCCAGAAACAAGGAATTGTTCTATATTCCACCTATAGGACCCTTGGAAAGAAATGTCAGTGTATCTGAAGCCATACATGAGGGACCAGAACTGAGGCTCTGAACTCAGAGGAAGCTGAGCAACTGTCACAGGAGAGAGTTCAATGACCTCAGGAAAGCCCCTTCACCTTGCTGGGCCCCAATTTCATCATCTGAAAGAAAAAGAATGTTAGTAGTCCCTTCGGAATCACAAGATGTTGTGAGGACCCTATGAGATTTCATTTAAACCAGGCAAATCTCTGTACTCCATAAATGCTAGCTATTATTAGAGTGCTATTTCCCCCAGACATATTTGATTATAGTGTAAGTTAAACCTGCCATTCACTGTTGCAAATATTTCACCTGAAATCTGGATATTTGGAACTGGCAGGATAATAAAAATGAAAAAATAATTTTAGGATGTACAGTTCCAAAAAAAGTTGCTCACATAATCATAGTCAAGAGCACTGACTGCTTGACTTTCTTTAAACTTGAAATGATTGTCTGGGATGTTTTCAGTTATCCAGGGGGCCGCATTTACTTGGTTCTCTCTCTCCCTCAAGGCTGCCACAGAAAAGGAACTTCTTACTCTTACTTGTGTCTGCACATGGCAGGAATACGCTCAGTGTAGCTTGCTGGGTGAACACACAAAGATGAATTACTGTTTTCTCCATTATTTCGTCTTCATTTTGGTTGGTTAATTCAAATTGCAATGAACCAAAAGATTAGACGGAGCCTTTGTGTTGCCTGTTCCCTCTGCTTGAGGTGCTGTTCTCCGGGGCTATCATATGACTTTTTCCTTTTTATTCTACAAGTGTGAGTTTGAGTGTCACTTCTTCAAAGAGAGATTATTATAGTTTAAGTCTAGATGTTCCTTCTCATGCAATCAAAGGAGGTGCTTTTCGAAGGTGATTGGATTGTGGGGGTAATAACTGACTTGCTGTTAGCTGCAGGTCTGGGAGTGTGGCTAGAGAGATTTTGCTCCCTCCGAGAGTTCTCCCTTGCTCTGTGGTTCCTGGATGCCAGAAGGTGAGCACCTTCCCTCCGCCAGGCCCTTCATGCTGTCTCTGTATTTGAGCCTGCTGAAGATGGACAGGAACTTTGGAAACACAAATTAGAATAAACCTCGCCTTTCTTAGGTTGTGCTAGAGACTTTGCTCTAAGAAAGAAAAGTGAACTCGTTTTCTTCCTTAACAACCTGCTTTTCAAGGCTTGTCCTTCTGCTTAGATGCCTTGTCCTGGCCCTACCCATTGCTCCAACTGATTTTCTGCCAGTTCTTATCTCCAGTTGCAGGGATTTCTTTTCCCTTTCTCAAACACCTGGCTTTTCCCACCCCAAGTTCTCCCCACCTGCCTTTCCTTTCTCTGCAAGTTCCCCCTCCACTTTCTTAGTAGGCTCTTTCTCATTGTTCAGGGGCCGCTCAGTCTATGTGTCACCCCTTGAAAAAGGCCATCTTTGAGCATCTTATCTAAAGTAAACTTTAACTTCTTATTCTTTACCCCATTTCCTTGTTTATTACCCATGTCACAATGGTCAGAATCAGAAAATTTCTTTATTGCCTGTCTCCCCCACTGGAGAAGAAGTGCCACAGAGAAGAGGTGCTGTTTGTGAGGGAGGGTTCACTGTTTTCCTCTTCTACCCAGAGCAGTGCTTGATTCTTGGTAGGCACTCCATAGTCGATTCATTGAAAGAGTAGACTGACTAGTCACCAGGTGTGGAGCTTGGGAGCCCTGTTATTCTCTTTCCTTCCAATGCTTCAGGAACTATTCATCAATCCTATTGATTTCATCTCAGAGTGACTCTACACTCTGTTTTCTTTTTTCCATTCCCACAACCAGCATTCAGTTCTTGTTATTATCAATAGTATAAAGGCTCAGTTCTTTGAAGCTTATTTTTGACCTGGTTAATTTAGATAGTGGGATGAAGCCCAAAGGCTTGAGTACCAGGTTGAAGTTTGCTTCATGGGGTCATGAACTGTATTTCCTCTGTTACTCATTAGTCATCTCAGGAAATGCAAAAAATAAGGGGATTTTTAATTCAATATGGGCCGTTTAGAACCATCAAAGGCTCACTGAATACCTACTATGTGTACTCAGTACATTCCTTATCTGCATCATCTCATTTAACTTCTACAGCAGGTTTTGTGAGCTAGGTGACAATATTTCCTTTTTAGAAATGAGGATTTCTGGGGTCAGATAGGTTCTGGGCTTATGTAGGGTCTTATGGTTAAGTGGAGGCTCTAGCATTCAAACTAGGTCTAAGATATTTGTTCAGGTAGCAGGCTGGGCCAGAGAGTTAGATGAACATCTCTGAAGTCTGCTGGAATTATATTCTGCTCAAAGAAGATGGATTAATAGCTTGTTGGCTGGTCTAAAATGTAGCAGAGCAACTGCAATCACTTGAAACATTTAAAATTAAATTGAAAAGAAAGTGCCCACACCAGAGAGTGTAATGTATATGACACTGATTCTTGAGGGATGCATTAGTTCACTTGGTTGGGTTTCCAGCTCTCATTTCCTGAGCTTCACTAATTTTCTCTTGAGAGGCCTGTTTATTGCTCTTGGATGAACCCTACTGGCTGATTGCTTAATATGTGGTAATACTTTCTCTTTGAAATGAGAGAGGAGAAAGCAAATTCTTAATACACAGCGTAGGAGAACGGAAAAGTTTGCTTTAGCTTCTGGATTCCAATGTACCAACTTGCATTCTTTATCTTTGCAAAAGTTTATTTCCATATGTGAAACTAATATATTTTATTCTAGAAAAGTGGGAAAATGAAGAAAAACATGAATGAGAGGTATCACTGAGTGGTAATCACTGCAAACACAAAGATCTATTTCCTTCTAGTCCTCTTTCTGTAGTGAATTTTTCATCACTAAAATGAGGTAATATGCTGTTTTGTTTCTAAATTTTTCTGTGTTATATGACAATTAATATTCTTTAAGGATATTTTCGGTCTGCATGATTTTCCACTGATTAGGTTATTAATTATGTCATCATGCCCTGGTCTTTAGTGTTTAAGTTATTTTGAGTAATTTTTGCCAAAATTATGAAAAATGCTATGATGAACATCTTTCATACTCCAGTATCTGTATTTGTGGAAACCTCTTTGTGAGTCATGCTCTTACAGAGTTAAGTGTCTGTCTTTGAATAAGGAGAGAAAAAACTCAGATTGGTTGGGTTGAGAAATTGTGTTACAAGATCTGAGCCAGAGGTAAAATTAAAATGTAGTGTCAAAAGACTACAGAAATAAGGTGCTTCAAATGGGATGAAATGAAACGGATTCAAAGAGCAACTTCCCACTGCCAAGTGGATTCTCCCAAATTTATAATATTTAGTGGGGTGATGTTGAATCAGTGTATTCTGGAGATCAATGCTTTCAGATCTTAGCTATGTCTACTGTGTATTTCAAAATAAGAAGAAGGAGGGGCAGGGAGGGGTTGGGGAGGGAGAGAGAGAGAGAGAGAGAGAGAGAGAGAGAGAGAGAGAGAGTGCAAGAGAGCCAGTGAGCGAGAATATAAATCTGCTGATCTGTGAAATACAAGAGAAAGAGTCCAGATCTTTAGGAAACTGTAAGAGGTCGAAGGCATTTGCTGCCAAATTTCACATTAGTCTCAAGTCTCAAGCCTTTAGTAATCATAAAGTAGCTGCTGTGGTCTCAGGGGTTTGGTACAAAAGAACAGTGTTTTTTGGCTAATATTATTAGAAAACCATTTATCTTTCCAGTTTACAACAACTTTGGTCCTCTAATAAAGAAAAAAAAAAAAAAACCAAAGAAAAAAGCAGAAGATTTAAATGGGGAAAAAGTAAAATAGGGAACACAAGTTGCCAGATTGCCGTACTGTTAATTTCTTAAGTTATGTATTTTAGGAACACTGCTTTAAGACAAAAGAATGTAAGACACAGATTCTATAAGGCTTAAAATGCAAACTTCCCTTCCCTACTCTCCATTGTACCAAATAACAAACAAGCACCCAGCCCACCTCTTCTTGCTGATTGGATGATATAAAATGGTGCATCTTGCATCATTCTCTGCAGTTTATGGAAGGACCACAAAAACAAGTAACCAAATACAATGCTGGTAATGGACTAAATATTAAGTATTATTGTAAGACTCCAGAATCACCAAGCATTTAGTGAATGCCTTCTGTGTGCACTCAATACATTTCCTGTGTTGTCGTCTCATTTAATTTTCACAGCAGCTTTTGTGAGCTACATGGTGAGGCGTCCTTTTTACAAATAAGGAAACGTAAGATCAGATAGGTAAAGGGACTTGTATAAAGCCTTATGGCCAAATGGAGGTAGCAAGATTTATATTCAAACTAAGGCTTTTGTTCAGTTAGCAAAACCAGGGAAGAGAGTTAGGTGGGCATCTCTGAAGCTCTCCCAGAAAGAAATCACCCATATCCTAGTACCCTCACCACTGACTGTGTCTATATTCTCCTACTCTTTGTATTCAGATGCAATTTTCACACTCTTGTAGTAAACGGTACACACCACTTTGTGTCTTGAGTTTTCAAAAGTTAATGCTTGACACTAAACCCTTCCTAAACAGTGATTCTCTACTTAAC